AAGTGTTTGGATTTGGAATTTTTCTTCAACTTGGCCAAGTTTTCAGGAGGCAAAAGCAGAATTTCAGGCTTTACTGATACAGATCTCTGAAAAGGTTAGCTCTGAAATTTGATTTTGCTTGAATTGTTTTCAAGCCTCGGATGCAGATATCGATGCAGCTCATGTGAGGTTTGATGTATGATCTATTGTGCCTAATATGTTTCATTTTGATGGCTTCTAATTTATTTGTAAATTGATTTTCTTCAAAATGTGTTGGTCCAAATGGGTTTGTAAATAAAAGCTGGTTTTTTTATGAAATGACATGTAATGTTTTTCCAAAACATTGCTTGTATTGCTGGAACATGATATGCTCTAGATTTCTTCCAGCAACTAGCTCTATAAATGTATATTCTCCTTTATAAGGTGTACTTAGTTTTGGAATATTTACATGCATAGCACTCGATTCTTATGTATTTACATTTCTAACACTTTAACTTCAATTTTTACGTGTATCTTATCTTTGCTTATGCATGAAAATGTGTATTTCATATTTTAAAGATTGAAATGGTGGTATTTTTTATGAGATTTGGGCGGTATAAATGTTAGATATGTAAATACATAAAATTTGGTGGTATTTATGTAAATGCCCCGCATTTTTTTTCTTCTGGTTGCATTCGATTTCATATTTGATTTCATATTTTATGAATAGAATTTTCCATTTTTTTTCATATTTTTATTGATCCAGTAAAATTTGTTAAATATGTCAGGCCAGAATACTGTAGAAATATAATGTTATGAAGCAGAAATTTATTCAGTTATTGTTGAAATAATGTAAATCTATGCGATAATATATATATATTTCATATGATAATTTAAAAATAACATCAATTTTAATCTAAGCGATATATGAATTTTGAAGAATATGATTTATCTTTTTTTTTTTCTTTTCTTTTTCTTTTCTTTTCACTCTTTTTCTCATAAAATATTATTATTGTGTTCCAGAAAATTTGTTGAGATAGAGATATTAAAATTTTAGTATTGTAGGATAATCTAAAACACATAGATAAAAGAAAAGTTAGTAAGGGTGATGCCAAAGTTTTTTACTTGAAAAAAATTAAAATGGTTAGAATTGCGAAGCCAAGCCCAATTAAAATAATTTCTATATACTCATATGGGGTACAAAATTTTATCATCAATAGAATAGCCAGAATCAATATTACAGTTAATCGGGTTATCGACATAACTCCCAGTAGAGTGACGTTGTGACGAATTACATTGGAGAAATGGCGATGACTTGATTGCTATGAAGGAAGACCGATGGTAAAGTTTGTGTGTCAAAAAATCTGATGATTGTGTGTGTCGATAGTGTTGGGTCGATGGTGATGATGGTAGTGTTATGGCATCAAAGATCTAATATTGGTCTAGCGACATCGATGGTGGTGGCTAGCCAATGATGGTCTGACGATGGCGGTGGTTCGACATCGATGGTGTTGTCTGGACAGCGGTGGTCCGATGATGGCGATGGTTTTGCCGCAATGACGGTAGTGGCTAGGAATAGGTGGTTCTGCTGCGGTAGCATTCAAATGGTGGTGATTCGGTGGCGAGGATGATGGTGGCCATACAACGATGGTGAAGCAATTTCGGTGGTTCTACGACAACGATGGTAGTTGTCGGTTAGTGGTGTTTTTGCGACCGTGATATCCAGACGAAGGTGGTTTGGTAGTGAGGGTGATGGTGGTCAGTGGAACAGTGTCTTGATCATGGCCTGCAATGGTTGTTTGATGATGGCAGAGACTCGACGGGGGATGGCCGGTGGTTGTGATGGTTACATAGTAGCGATTCAGTAGCGACGACAGTGGTGTTGGGAAACAATAGTCTAACTATGGTGGCCACCCAAATTTGATGGTTCGACAACAAAGACAACAAAATGACGGTGGTAGCCATACAATAGTGGTCCGACAACAAAGACAACAAAATGACGATGGTTAAATGGTGATCGTGGCTAGACAGAGGTGGTCTGGCAATGGTGACAGTGGTGACCGGCTATTGGCAATCCAATGGTGGCTGACAGTAGGAATATATATTAGAAGCAAATACATTGGTATAAAACAAAATTAGAAACAAATATCTCAGTATAAACGAAATTTTAATAAGGCTTCTCTTACAAAAAGGTTTAATTTTGTGTCCCGTCTTTATCTCGCAGTCAGCATCTTGGAGAGAAGACATCTTTGTTGAACTAATAAGTGTATTAAAAAATATTTTTTTCCTAAACTATTATCTCTCTTATGAGCATCGTATCTTCTTCAATAACTTCCTTTTTGAAGAATATGAATATGACTTGCTCTTTTTTCTTTTTATTACTTTCTCTCCTTTTCTCAGAAAATGTTATTGGTAGGAGCTAGAGAATTTGTGGCCGTGGAGAAATTAACTTCGTACCATCATAAGAAAATCCATTACACAGAGATAAAAGAAGAGCTGATAGACAGGACATCAGACATTTTACATGGAAAAATTAAAAGAGTAAAAACCATTGAATCTAGCCCACTTGAAATGATCTCACTATATTTATATAGGATAAAAGGCGACGTCCAAACGGTGGTGATCCTATGGAGGAGAAGATAGTGGCTAGGCGATGATTTTGGGTTAGCGATGACGGTGGTTTTACTACAACAACAATAGTGGTTGGGCAGTGGTGGTTCTGCGGTGATGACATCCAGACGACGATGGTCTGGTTGCAGGGACGGTGGTTTGATGATGGTGGAGACTCGACGATGGTGTTTTGGTGGCAGTGATGGCTTGTTAGTAGTGATCCAGTAGCGATGACGGTGGTGGTTGGGTAGCAATGGTCTGATGGTGGCGGCCACCAGACATCTACCACTCGGTGGTCGTTAGGCAATAGCTAGGGATTGCTATATGCGATGGTCTAGTGGAGACAACGGTGGTGATTAATTGGTAACCAAACGATGATGGTTTTGTGGATGTAACGATGATCCGGCGTTGTAAGCAGCCTGGCGACGGTGGTCCATCGATGGTTTGACAGTGACAAACGTAGTGGTCGAGCAGTAATGATCTGGTAGCAGCGACGAAAATTTTGAGGTCCACCGCGATGAAAGTTGTGGTCCATCAGTGGCAACGTCCAGACGACAGTAGTCCCGTGGCAGCTACTGATAGTTGTTAGGAGGATGGTCCATTTATGGGAGTGGCTTGATGACGGTGGTTCGACGATGACAACAACATTGGTGGTCGACAGCTGTGGTTTGACGATGACGACAACCAAACAATGGTAGTTCGTTGGCAATGATTGCGGTGGCAGGGCAACGGTGGTCTGACGATGGTGATACCGAGATAGTGGGGGTTTGATTATGGAGACGACTCGACGGTGGTGTTCAATGATATTTATAGTGGTGATCGGACAGTGGCCATTGGCGATCCTGCCGCCCAAATAAGCCCTAAAATTTTAGTTGACTGGTCAATAGATCTCTGTACTTACAGCTTGAATTTATTTCTTATATATTTCTTATTGCATTTTAGGATTACAGAGTTTTATAATTTAAGTGAGATCCCCTGAATTGGGATCACTTTTAATTTTGATTTTTTTTTATTTTCTTATCTTATTTTATTTATATCTTACCCTAAAATAAAACATATGTAATTGTTTAGAATGCATTAAAAAATAATTTTTAAATGTTTTTTATTACTTTAAAAATAAGTTAATTTATTTTTAAAAGTAAAATTAAAAAACATACCAAAAAAATGTATTAAAAAAAATTTTTAAAATAAACCAAAAACAAAATTTAAAAATAGAACAAAAAAATAATCCCTAACAAGCCCTAATTTCATTATTGTGAATGAAAATTAGTTTATTGACCATTATAAAAATTAAAAGATCTTTAAATTTGTCAGAAGAACAAATAGTGTGAAACCTCTCAAGTTGAATAGAGCTAAACTTTTAAGCATTAATGCTCATTTTCGTGTAAGAGTCTAATTTCTCGAGCGTGAACAACCTCCAGATTGATGACCTCCTAATATAAGTTATACTAATGCAACAAAATCGTGAATTTATTAGGCCAAAATGAACAATATCTCGATGAATGAGCAACACAATATATTTTCAAAGAGAAGACCATTCATTCCATATAAACACATACAAGAACAAGAAAAAAAAATCATTTCAGCAACGGACATTACTAATTTTATTACATCCATCACCCAAACAACCCCCATCACATTCACAAATTCTTCACAAATTTCCCCAAAACAAATAAATACAACACAATCCACTTCTCCTCCCCCCCCACTTTCCCTCACTTTCCGGGCACAAAGTTGGTGGCATAAGCCCATGCATTATTGTTCACCGGATCCGCCAGATGATCCGCCAGGTTCTCCAGCGGGCCCTTACCCGTAACGATAGCCTGCACGAAGAACCCGAAAACAGAGAACATGGCCAGCCTTCCATTTTTCAGCTCCTTCACCTTCAGCTCCGCGAAGGCCTCTGGATCTTCAGCCAGGCCCAACGGATCAAAGCTGCCCCCGGGATACAACGGATCGGTGACATCACCGAGCGGCCCACCGGCAACTCGATATCCCTCGACGGCCCCCATGAGGATGACTTGAACGGCCCATATAGCGAGGATGCTCTGCGCGTGGATCAGACTCGGGTTACCCAAATAGTCCAGCCCACCTTCACTGAAGATTTGGGCCCCGGCCTTGAACCAGACAGCTTCGCCGAATTTGACGCCGTTACGGGCCAGGAGCTCGGGGAAGACGATGCCCAAAGCTCCTAACATTGCCCATCGGGAGTGAATGACCTCCAGCTCTCTGTTCCGGGCGAAGGTCTCTGGGTCAGCGGAGAGGCCGGCGGTGTCCCACCCATAGTCGCCGGGGAATTCGCCGGTGAGATAGGAAGGGGGCTCGCCGGAGAATGGGCCGAGGTACTTGACACGGTCTGGGCCGTACCATGGGCTTCCTGAGGACTTGCTTGCAGTCTTGCGCATGGTGATGCGGGCTTCGCCGAAGAGGGCGGGGTTGGAAGGGGATAGCTTCACAGGCTTGCCGGCGAAGGAGGGGGAGGAGAGAGCCATTGCGGCTGCAGTGGCGGCCATGGTGTTAGGATTAGTAGAGCTGGGGTGATGAAGAGAATTGAGTGCAGAGAGATGGATTGAGGGGTGGGGGGGGGGGG